GGCATTTTAGACACTGGCAGCATCCGTTAAAAATGACACTTTTAGTGACGTTTGTAGAAAAATATAATTATTAATGACAAATCACAAAAAGTGACGTTATAGTGAAGTTTAAAGGGGCCTTTGTTTATTTTTCAAGGTGGTTTTTAAAATTTTGTCAAAAAATCAAATACCAACCTTTGAGAAATAAAATTTAACCATTAGTCATTTAACCAACGATTGTTTGTTCAGTGGGAAACCAGCGCTGGTTACCACCGATTGTGAAACTGGGCCTAAGCGTACCGGTAAATCCGTCACGACCGTCACTATAACTTATGTTACATGTTTGTTTCTTTCAGAAATATGTACCTAAAAGAATGTTCTTTTGGTTGATATCCTTGTCAAATGATTAGAATAATATACCAAATAAAACTGCCATAAATAAATATATAAAAATATATGAAATTTTTTTTTAATAGAAAACTAGCTATGCTTAGGTACTTATTGTTTCGCTACAAGGCTCACAAGAATGCTGAGCATGATTTTGAAGAAATTTATGTCAATGAATAATGTACCAAATGGTCCAAATGTTTTAAATCCTATTTTTATTAAAAAAAAACTTCCATAAAAGAATATTTTTCGGATTAGAAGGAATATCCTACTAGGAATGTTGAAAGCATCACATCCAAATATAACAATAAATACATTCTAAGAATATTTTGCATGGGTATTAGAATTGGGCTGCGTTTAATTTCTTTTTAAGCTTAATTCTTACTCGCGCGAAATTTGCTCTTTTTTGGCATGCTTCGACAATTTGATGTTTGATATACGCATAAAACATCAAATTATCGAAGCATTGTCAAAAAAAGAGCGAATTTCGCGCAAAAAGAGCGGATTTCGCGCAAGTGAGAATGAGGCATTAGGAGGACGTTCTGAGAACATTTCCAAAGATCTTGGCGAATATTCAGGCCTATGATGTATCATTTTCTGTTATTTTAACACAAGCGTTAAGTTAGCTGTCACTGTTTATTTATTCTATACATCAAAATAGAGATGGAAAAAAGAAAAGCCTTAACACAGGACAGGATTCATCATAGGCCTGATTGTCTCTTAAAAATTATATTTTTATAGCGTTTGAGGAATGCAAATTTTTAACCTGTGTACCTACTTGTGTATCCAGAGAGGAATCACTAGGGCTAGAAGCGCGTATATATGTCATCAGTATACAGAACATTTTAAGGTAATCCACTTTGCCCCAAACTCCCCTACTTCCTATCCTGGTATTTCAGAACTATCTAGGTATATGAAATACAGGTATCAAAGAAACTTCAGGAAAATGAAGAATACCTATTCAGAGATTTTTCGGTGGCGCCAAAATTCGATCTGCCTTCAGTACATTTTTGTCTAGTTACGGCCCTGGTAATCCTGTATATCTGAAGACCACGAGGACCAAGAAGAGGAACTTCATGAATAGGTAACACACTGTATCTGCATGAGAACAAAATATATAGGTAAAGTACACGCTAGTGATGGGAGACTTTAATGCAAAGATAGGCTAAGATGACACCGAATCATGTTACATTGGCAAATTAGGACATGGTACAAGAAATGGAAGAGGCAACATGCTAATCAACTTTTAAGAAAGAAAGCAACTCTTTGCGATGAACACATTCTTCAAAAAGAAATCTAACAAAAAATGGACAAGTCTGGATGGAAAGACAAAAAACGAAATAGACTATATACATCATTAACATATAATCCAAGATATAGACGTCTCAGGCTCATTCACGATTGATGGCAGTTATCATAGAATGGTAAGGTGTAAAATAGCCATTAATGTGAGCATAGAAACAGCAAAGAAATTCAACTGCTCCCAAAAGAAATTAAGCACACATACCAGTAAAACACAAAAAACAGACTTCGCAACCAAATTAACACAAAAACTGGGGGAAAAATCCCATAGGACCCCAGAAGGATGAAAAAACAAGACCAAAGAAGTACAAATCGAAAAACTGATAGAACAACAAAAAGGCTTAAACGTTATCAAAAGGGAGAAAGAGAAATTAGAAAGCTGACGGACAAAGAAGAAAACATTATAGAAGACAGAGAAACTACATTGGGTATGGCGGAAAATGTTATAATGAACTATACGACGCAAAAAGCAACAACGAAAATAAAAAACAAGAAACCGGAAGCGCAACATCCAAAATTTTAAATGTTGAGTCAGAAGAAATCGCTTATATAAAAGAGGAAAAAATTGCAAAAGCCCCAGGAATGGACGATATACTACCAAAAATGGAAGGAGGCCAGGAGAATGCCTTGGGAAAAAAAACTGAAAACACTTTTCAATAAATATCTATCCAGAGGGGAAAAGACCGCACGACTGGAAGACTGCCATCATCGTTCTGTAAACAAAAAAGGAGACCCATCAAATCTTGAAAACTATAGACCCAAAAGCCTCTTGTCTCACATATACAAACTGTTTATGAGAATAATCACCAACCGCCTAGAAAGGAAACTCGATGATTACCAACCTAGAGAACAAGCAGGGTATAGAAAGAGCTATGGCACTATAGAGCATTTTCACACAATGAGAAAACTCAATGAAAAAAGACGACCGAATATAACAGGACCTACATTGGGAAAATAGAGGGAGCAATATATCTGGAGAAAACCTCAACAATTTAAGATTCGCCGATGACATCGTTATACTCGCGCAGAAATCATGCTAAAAGAATTACTTCAAGAAGCCAAAAAGGATTAGAAATGAACACATCAAAAACAGAGTTTATGACCAATGAGCAAACAGATTGGAACACAATAACCATAGAAAACCAGCAAGTGAAAACAGTAAAATCTTACCTTTGAAATGAAAACTGAAAGTCTACAACGCATGCATTCTGCAAGTAGTTGCCTATGAAAGCGAAACATGGACTCTCACCAACAAAATCCTAGATAAGCTGCAAGTGCATCAGATAACAATCGAAAGACAGTGATCGGTATGACATTTACTATGGGATCACAAGACCAACAAGTGGATAAGAAATATAACAAAGGTCGAAAACATTACACTTAGAATATGACCGAACACGTAGCGAGAAACATAAGCAACAACTGGAGCGGAAAGGTAACAAGATGGAGACACTGGGGGAAACATTGAGCTAGGGGAACGAAGAAGCTTCGACAGACCTCAACAATGCTGGTACGATGACATCAAGCGAATAGCAGGACTAAACTGGTTCCAGGTCGCACAGAATGGAAATGCCTGGCAAAATCTGAGAGAGGACTATATCCAGAGGACCAGGGAACGGCTCGAGTAGAAGAGAAGTTTTATCTAAAAAGAGTCAGGAAACTCAGGGAAATGATGGAATAATAGGCTTAAAGTTCGGCTCTCCAAAAAATACCTATACTACCGTCCCAAATAAACAAAGGTGCTCATGAAAATCATTACTAACCACTTGACACCAGAAATTAATAGCTACCAATCCATTGAAAATTCGCATAGAAGAAGGAGATAAAACAGCTGGAAGAGAACATCAATCCCAGCAAGTAGGTATTCAAGAAACAAGACTGATCTAGAAACAACATACATGCAAATTGCAAATGCACATAAATTATCTAGGGACAGGGTTCTTACAGAAATCACAAACCAGTCAGCAAATTTCATTGGTTGAAAATAGTCAGAAAACTGTTTGTTGGCGATTTGCACCAATCAAAAACGCTCTGACTGGTTTGTGATTTCTGTGAAAACAGACCTGACGCAAGAGACTCGGAAAAAATGGCTTGAAGATGAAAATGGGGATGTCATATAACACCGAAGAATAAAGAAGAGTAACCATTGAGTATAGTATGAGAATAGTATTTATTGAATAAATTATTCTTATTGATAAATCTCTTTATATAAAAGTCAGCTATTACATCTACAAAAATACTTATATACCTACGAATCATGGGAATTAAAAGTTTCGACCAAAATAGGCCATAATGTCCACCAGATTTGATTGTTGTTGGGATGAAGATAATTCTTTGTAGGCAGATGCAAACTGAACACAACCTTGTTTGACTGATCTTTTGAAATATCCGGACATGACCTCAATTGTATTAGTGGAAAAAATAAATAAACAAAATTCTGATATTTTAGTCACTCGGCCAAACGGTGCTGAATTGAGTAACCAGGATAATGAATGAAATATTCTTATAAATTCTGTAAGAAATACTATACATCATGGACAATGGACCATGTATAGTTTTGTAGATAAGTAGGTATATTTCTACTATTTATTTTCGATTTATCTACATTAGCCAAAGTTTACCTTTAGCTTTTAAAATTAAATCCCAGAAGAGTATGCAGGTAAGAATTTGAAGGCTTTTTATAATGCCGGACTTTTGATGCGACGATAATTGAAATAGCGAAGCATACGTCCTATCTATGAAATTTATTGACTAATTAAATCAGTTTTTTCAGTATGTTATAAATGGTCTATCAGATACTTTTAAATTATGAGTTTTTATAGGCATATTTCCAACCTAATAAAATTTAAACTTAGATTACAAACTTGTTGTTTACTTTTCACAAAATCAAAAATTGTGAGAACAATGTACCTATTGAAAAGCTTTATGTATCATTGATAATGCTGCATATTTCATACAAAATATTGTTATACAATGGATACGGTTAAACTCTGAAAGCTTTAAGCCTAACCGATCGTTCACATTCCGAATATTATTATTATAAAATACCTCTATGATAAAACCATTAAAGCTTTAAGCAGCTTTAGCTATTTGAACATTTTATGCAACATATAAAATAGAATAGATATATTGAACATTAAACAAAGCTACCTATATCTCCTTAAACTGATAAGATTTTAAGGTAGTATTTGAATCAGTGGTTTATATTAACATACTACCGAAGACTGTAGACTTCTATCTTATTGATGCTCTTAGACATTAATAAACCTACATGAAGCTACAGTACATTTTATACTAAACATAATGTCAAAAAATAAACAAAGTTATCCTACCTTTTATGTCCTTTCAAAGCCGACACAACACCATGGTTTCTACACCGAGCACACTTTGGAGTCCTCTGATACCTTTCCGACGTACGAAAAAACAACCCTGGCGGGATAGCGCCCAAAACTGGATGTTGCGACATTATCGCCGACATATCGACACCGCTATTAGGCATACCCATATTTTACTAATGTAAATTCAAACATACATAAACATAAACTTGTACCAAAAAAATTTTTAAACTTCCGTCTTAGATTTGCCAGTTAAAGCAACTGACACTCCTCAATCCTTAAAGTTAATAGGTATCCGGTGGCTGGTTACAGTGCTGAAACTGTTGGCTGTCACCGCTTAGTTACAACAGCCAATGCCGTGGCAAGTTCGAACAAGTCCCACCCTTATTTCCGTGACATTTCGTACTAAACCGCGCCTACCACCCCACAATCTGGTGTTTACTGTATTATGTGCCGTTGCACAATGAGCGGTTGAATAGGAATACAAACTAGTTTTCAATGGCAAATATATTATATTCTGATAGCATAATGGGACCCTTAAGAACAGGGAGAAATATAAATGTATAGAGAAGTTGCGGCGATATGGTATTGTTGAATTTGTGAAGTAGATTCGGTTTCTCGTTTTTCTCTCTCTGTCTCGCCACTGGAAAATTGGGGGAGTTTGTATTATACCTACTTTAAAACATTTTAATATCACTAATATTCTGTATGGGATCCGTTGAGAGTGAGGTCAAGCGTGAAAAATGTTGATGTTTGCTCCGAAAGGGATTTATAAAAATTAGTAGGGACCCAGTGCTAAAAATTATATTGTGCGGCATGTGGCACTTCATAACTGGCATTTCGAATATGGGAGGATGGTTTTATAGCTGATTAAGGAATTACCAAGAAATCTGGCAAAAATGTTAAGAGCTCTCATGAATAAGATAAATTTTTGTTGAGAAGGAATTGTTATACCTCTGAGTCTAAGCGGCTTACAAATTGGAGCCAATTAAGCATTAAAAAAAAATTCGAAGAATTTTTACCTTAGTCATGAATTTGTCATTGAACTGGCTCCGTTTTTGATACATCTTCTTGAAGGATTTGTAGGTACATCGAATAATTATAGTTAAGTTTAATATTTGGTTGGATGTTGGCCTATCCCAGGTTTCTTTTTCGTTAGGAGCACATAACCTTATTCTATACAGGGTGGGGCACGAAAAACTTCCCACCCAGGTTTTCTCACGTGTTAGATGATTTATTGAAAATCGCTCGAACACGTCAATTTTTGTTTTTTGGGGGACACATTTTATTGGTATTTTGACCCTAAGTGAGGGTGACAGCTACCCCCAAAATTTCAAATGAAAAGGGGGGTCGAGTGATACGTCATCTGATAGCTATTTTCATTAAAATTATATCCCCGAAGTTTTAAGTTGCTACTATTTACCTTGTCAAAGTTAGGAAAAATCAATGGAAAAATGGTGTGTGGTTTTTACCTGTTACCTACGCATAGGTGTAACAGGTAAAAACTATACAGTTTAGATTATCAGTAGTAATATAACAAGTGCAATGAAAATTATAGATATATTTTCATTGCACGAGTTATATTTTATAAGAAAATTTCCTGAATCATAATAGCTGTTCGCAGTATTTCACTAGGGACCTTGTTCAAAACAATCATTGTGTTGCTATATGTTGTCAATCAACAAATTTGTCAAAAGTTTCATTTAAAAAAATAATTTCGAATTTGTAATAATGATAAAAGTATCGAAGACCTTACGCCGATCAATACGAAGAGATCTCAAACGTCGATTTGGAAATATTCTAATCTACTTTACTCAAAGCCGATAATTTGTGTCTAATTTACTATGTTCAAAGCTGATAATAACTTGTTGACACAGGTAAAAAATACCTGAAAAAAATTATCGGCAATTAGCATTTGTGCAAATTATCGATAATTTGCACTTGTGCAAAATTATCGCTGTAATTCGCTTCCTATTGGTCCAAAATTGCCAGACGCCTCTGTATTTTCACCTGAATATTACCTGAAGGAAATTTTCGAAAAAAAACATTCATCGTAACTTTGACATGCCGCCATTTCGGCAGGGTAAATAATAGCAACTTAAAACTTCGGGGATATAATCTTAATGAAAATAGCTACTAAATGACATATCACTCGAACCCTCTTTCCATTTAAAATTTTGGGGGTACCTGTTACCCCCACTTAGAGGTTGACAGGTAGGGGGTGAAAATACCAATAAAATGTGTCCCCCAAAAAACAAAAATTGACGTGTCTGAGCGATTTTTGATTAAACCTCTAACACCTGAGAAACTCTGTGTGGAAAGTTTTTCGTGCCCCACCCTGTATGCGTTTAAACACACAAAAAACAGGATTGAAAACAGGGTGAGCATTGTATAATATATACCTAAATGTAACAGAACCATAAACCAGGCTGTTTCAACAATATTTCATGGACACACTCAGTTTATCTATAACGATCTCTATTCCAAATAGTGCACATTTTTTAAGTTAAATTATGACATCCATATTCAGAAGGATCACTTTTATAAGCACCTAATACCTGTATGTACAGGTGAACTACCATAAATCGCTATGGGGAAATATGTATAACAGCGTATAAATGTTATACTCCGCCGGAGTATAACATTTATACGCCGCTCAAGCTGAAAGTCATAGAAGTGACTCTCATATCCTGTCAAAATTATCACAAAAATTACACTGTTAGGACGTTCGAAAATAAAATTAATTTCACTGAGGAAGGTAACTCAGAAAAATATTGATCTCTAAACGACTTTACCCTGAATCAAACTGATCTGAATCAGATGTTGTCACAGTTAGTACCTATAATAATCATTAATCAAAGGTTGTAGACTTTCCACGAGGTAGGCAAGGTTTCACATGTTTTGTTTTTCCTCTATTAGGTACATGGTTTGCGGTTTACAGCACAACACCAGTTTTTTGCAGTTACCTTATTGTAATTTTAGTGTGGTGTTATTCTTGGTATCAATCCTTTCACCTGAGCCCACATTAGTTTAATCGGATTTAATTCACAAGTGAAGTATAATCCTTAGCCATTTCATCAACAACATGATGCCTTTTGAACTGTGATTTTCTTTCTTTAGCTATTTTCATTTAGCCAATTTAGAATGTCTTCTTTCTGCCAGGTTGAGGTTAATTTTTCTGCTAGTCTGAAATGATAGCTGGGCGTTGTCCATGACAATGACGAAACCTTTAGGAATTGATGTTATCATTTCAGAAACTCTTCAAAAATATTGTCATTTCATTTTAGTAATCGTTGGTTGATTTTCATCCGAATTCAAGGAAACCTCCATTTGAAAAGCTTCTATCACTACCAACTTATTATTAATTCGCGGTCTTGCCGGAAAGCATTTTTAAGCCAGTCGAAAGACTATCCACAAATGCCTGGCGAGAATTGTCATTTTTCTCTTGCCAGAATTTATTTACTGTGGTGTCCTTCGTTAAGCCACGTTCTGTCCAAGTGATAAATGTTTCTTTGTTCTCTTCTGTAGGTACTGTCTCAAATATGATAGATATTTTCTTCTCCAACAGATTAGGTATTTATTCTTTGTCAATCAGAATCGATTTTCTGCTCCGCCTTACCCAACAAAAAAACTAGTGTAATATATTTCTGGTATATTCTCGTCCGCCCTTATCACTGCTAACATTTTATCTATATTGTTGGGATCTCCTTATTCAAATAAAACGAATGAAATTTCCTTGCGGTTTTCTTCCAGGCAATTTTTAGGCAACTTCACAAAGTGATCACTATTTGTTTCTCTTAAGATGTCTATAGATTGTTCATTCACTGATCTCTGTCATATTTGCACATGTGAAGACTATACATCGGATAGTACCTATAAATATGGCATCTGATGCACAAGTGCAGCATGTAGATTTAATACCTACCTGCTAGTCCTTGCTTTGGCATCAAGAACGCCCTTAGGTATATTTTACCGGAATAAAGCCTAAGCCTGATGACATAGGGATAATTAAATACAAAATTAGATAGGTAATTAACCATTTGAAAAAGCCGATAAACTAAATAATAAGTTACATTGGTTAATTATATTACCATCAATCAATATGAATTTTAAATATCTAAACATATTTACCTAACAGATTCTTCCGATACTTGGTTTTAAATGAGTCCAAACTTAAGTTGTTGAGCTTGGTACATCATAAATCAGACTTGTAAACCTTAGGAGCCAAATAAGAAGCACTACGCTAAAGCTAAAATAGCGCTTTTCTGTGTTTCGGTATAAGCAGAGCAGAATGCAGTCTTTCTCGGTCCACAGTTTTTAACTATTTTTGTTCAGACAATTTGGAACTAACGCAGTCCCTAGCCCGCAGCCTGATAACAAGAATTCCAAACTCTTTGCAATCTGGTCCTACTGTGTACATCTAGGCCCTTATACACATTGTCACAGTAAACTTCAACAGTGGTTAGCGTGAGAGGACAAGAGTTTCAGTGAGCTGAGGTCTTGAAATATATTAAATTTTAAATAAGTTTCTCAAGGCAAAATAGTTATCCTAACAAGAGCGGAAAGTTACTTTCCGCAAGAGTTAGGATCAAGATCTTTTCTATACAAGCACATACTTTATAATTTTTTTTAAATTTTATTTTAAATAACAATCTAAAAGAATTTTATTTATTATTAATATGGATACTAAAAGTACATTTCGTTTCATTAACTTTGATAACATTCTAATCAGATAACCATGCGAACCCTATAACCACGCGACTTAAGCAGGTGAGTTTTTCATTGCTTTTAGTAAATTCTATACAGGTGTTCCATCTATGCCGTGCGGGAAAAAGATAGTTTCCGAATTGAAATGCGTGCGGGAAAGTTGACCAAAACGCACGCTTGTAGAAAATAGTTATTTTCCTAACAAGTGCGCAAAGTGTTACTTTTCCGCACGCAAACACAGTTATACGAACGACGCGAAGCGGAGTTCGGATACGTGTTTACGTGCGGAAAAGACACTTTGCGCACGTGTTAGGAACAAAATTTTTCCTACGAGCTTCATATCAGGTAGGTAACAACAAAAATCAAAAAAAAAACGATAATTTGTTTAATTATTTTTAATTAACTTGAAGGGAACCTATGCATTTATCAAAAAATAACATAACAAAAAAAAAATATAACAGAAAATCATCGTCAGAGCTCTTCATCTTAAAGCGTTTAATGGCGATTTCCATTTGTCATCAGTGCCGCACTGAGTGCATCCGCATCTTTTTCTAAAAACATGTAAGGATAAGGATACATTT